TGAACCTATCAAAGGAGAACATTACTCGGGGAATTTCAGACAGATGAACCGGAATGGTATATGTTGGTTCTTGTCAAGAAGTGGATCATCTACAATTGGGACTGCTACGATGAAAAGTGGCATAGCGTCTTGTTGCACACTTGGTGAGATTGTTCTTTTTTCATCGTTTTTTGTCAGTTTGTACTTTGTTTCCGTGAATCCATGTTTGAGGTTCATCATGTGCCCACTGAGAAGGAGTAGGCTGTGTGTGTGATCGAACGTGACGTTTGTTTTTTTTTTCGTGGAGTTTTTTTTTCATCTATAATCGGTTGCTGATCTGGCCAAAACCCGGCCCAGGAGACAATTTCTAGTTTGTCAGCGAGTTCATTAAGACCGAAGAAGTCCTGTGAGAGCTGCATCTCATTGTATCTCCCTGCTATTTCCCGCTGAGAAGCTGTTCCGAAGACAGGTAGAACCGCCATTAGGCGTCCCATAATTAGTTCCATCATTCGCTTCAGCGTTGAGTCGCAGCGCTGAACCTGACAATTGGCTTCGAAAAGGCTTGCCAATGCACGGGGTACAAAATTAATGTAAATTTAGGTGCTCTGCGAGCGACATACAGTATGCAAAAAAAGTTTATCCACCCCCCTACCAATTTACGTTTTTTTTTTTGTTTTTCTGGTGAAAATCAGTTTAATTTTATGAGTGTTCTTCCACGATTTATCAATTTATGTTTATTTATCACATTGCCATTGAAAATACGGCGTTTATATCTTTTCTTGAGATTTCATGTGATAAATTATGTAAAATTGTAAAAAATTACGCAACAAAAGTTTATCCACCCCCAAACGGATACTATGATTTAAGTGTGTTTTACAGAGTTTTAGTGTGTATTCTACAACTTTATCGAATGTAAACATTGTGTCTATCTGTCATTTAGTGCTCTTGAAGTTTTCGTGCTCAAAATTTCAGTTTTGTGTTCAAAATTGGAAGTTATTTGTTTCAAAGTGCCCAAAAAAGACCAAATTTCGATCAGTATCCGAAATTTGACTATTGAACATCACAAAACTGGCAAAAGCTACCGTGATATTGCCGATATTGTCCAGCTTCACAAAGATACGGTCGCTAGAATTTTGCAGATGTACAAAAAGCGTGGTTCTATCTCACCAGCTAAGCGATCGGGGCGTCCTTCAAAGACAACTGACCGAATAGACAGAGCTATCGTGAAGAAGGCGGAGCTGGACCGGGGACTATCAGCTCCGAAAATTGCGAAATAGATTGAAAGCGAGATTTCCATTCAACTGACATCACAATCCGTACGAAATCGTCTTCATAAGAAAAGTCTTAAGGGCAGAGTAGCTCTTAAGAAGCCATGGTTGTCCGCAATATATATATCAAAAAGAGATTAAAGTGGGCCCTGGACCACATTTCATGGACCAGTGATGACTGGAATAAGGTTATCTGGTTAGACGAGACGAAAGTAATGCTATTTGGGTCACCATTGATACCATCAGACCATACCATCAGATACCATAAAATTTTGGTCCATGAAATGTGGTCCTGGGCCCACTTCAATCTTTTTTTGATTTATATATTGCGGACAACCATGGCTTCTTAAGAGCTAATCTGCCCTTAAGACTTTTCTTATGAAGACGATTTCATACGGATTGTGATGTCAGTTGAATGGAAAACTCGCTTTCAATCTGTTTCGCAATTTTCGGAGCTGATAGTCCCCGGTCCAGCTCCGCCTTCTTCGCGATAGCTTTGTCAATTCGGTCAGTTGTCTTTGAAGGACGCCCCGATCGCTTAGCTGGTGAGATAGAACCACGCTTTTTGTACATCTGCAAAATTCTAGCGACCGTATCTTTGTGAAGCTGGACAATATCGGCAATATCACGGTAGCTTTTGCCAGTTTTGTTATGTTCAATAGTCAAATTTCGGATACTGATCGAAATTTGGTCTTTTTTGTGCACTTTGACTCAAATAACTTCAAATTTTGAACACAAAACTGAAATTTTGAGCACGAAAACTTCAAGAGCACTAAATGACAGATAGACACAATGTTTACATTCGATAAAGTTGTAGAATACACACTAAAACTCTGTAAAACACACTTAAATCATAGTATCCGTTTGGGGGTGGATAAACTTTTTTTGCGTAATTTTTTACAATTTTACATAATTTATCACATGAAATCTCAAGAAAAGATACAAACGCCGTATTTTCAATGGCAATGTGATAAATAAACATAAATTGATAAATCATGGAAGAACACTTATAAAATTAAACTGATTTTCACCAGAAAAACAAAAAAAAAATGTAAATTAGTAGGGGGGTGGATAAACTTTTTTTGCATACTGTATACGAGCGTCAATGTTGACATAAATTTGAGTCATAACAGACGCGAAATATAGCTCAATCAAACGTACTTTTCGTCGAGCAATGAAGTTTTCAGTCTCGGGGTACGTAATATTACATTACATGTTTGTTTACGTCTCATCTTTTATGTCGAAGATGAATTCCGTCACGTGTAAAATTTGTTATTTGTAAGTGTGAATCAAAAATCGGCTACACACATCCAATCATTTTTTATCTCAAATCGAGGGAAGACATTCCGCTCAACTACCACAAACCGGACTAGTTCATGTTGATCTTCGTCAAGCTTTGTCTACAATTTGAACTTTTACATCAACACATGTCAAGCTGCCTTCAGGTTCAATTGGCTAAACTTGGTGAGTTCGTTCCATTTTGTAATTTTTTTTATCTTTTTAAACCAGTAACGTTGGGAGATCACCTTTTTGTGGTGCGTTACTGGTATAAGATCTACCACCAAACTCTAGTCGTGACAACTTCAAACTGGAGAATCAGGATTTTCTAGTTCTTGTTACTTTTCATGACTTGATAATAGTGACAAGACTCGGGTTGTGACCACCGCGCCGTTATGCATTTCTATATTGTATACTTCAAATCAAAAATATTGTTTATGTTCATAGATTTTACATAATCCATTTCCCTTTGTCCTTCTCCTTTTCCTTTCCCTCTTATCTTTTCAGAAAGCGAGTAATGGCGCTATAGCCATAAGTCATAAAAGGCTAGGACAAGAGTTAGTGCTCATGCCCCAACCGTCAGAAGAAAATGGAGCATCACTTAACCATTCTATCTTTGATGCTTCCAACGACCAACTAATCATATAATTACCAAAATCGGAACGTACGGTACGAGATGTCCACGTTTCATCCATTTATTGGATTCTGAAGCAACGTGTTTAAATCTTCGATTTAAATAGGCCCGATGTTTTCTGAATCATCTTGCCCCTTAAATGCTGTACAGTAGGCCTGGCCGTTTTGATATGAGTGACGCATCTTCGATGTGAAACATATATCAAATATACAAGAAAAATGATGGAGATATATATATATATATATATAATTTTCCAGGATGCTTTCAAGAACTGGCTGTGTTGGTGTTAGATTAGATTAGATTAGACATTGTTTGGAACTTTTACTTTAAAATTTACTTGCAATCAATCAAACTTTAAAATCAAGCTCAAAAATTGTTGGGGCCTCATAGCCTAGTCAGTAAAGGCACGGTATTACCAAGCCGGAGGCGGCGGGTTCGATTCCCGGTTCGGTTGGGTTCGTTCGGGTTGGAAATTTTCTCGACTTCCCTGGGCATAGAGTATCATTGTGCTCGCAAATTACAAATTAATGCATTGGTATTGGCATCGAAAGCTCTCAATCAATAACTGTAGAAATGCATTTAGAACACTAAGTTGAGAGCACGCAATAAGCTAATATGCACTAAGCAATAAGCTTGAAATGTGAATAAGAAGAAGAAGAAGAAGAAGAAGAAGAAGAAGAAGAAGAAGAAGAAGAAGCTCGAAAAGGCTTTTCCCCATCACACTTCATTTAGACAAATAAAGTCAGACGAAGAAAATCAATATAATTTTGTAATGATAATTGTATGCAGCTTTAGTTCAGGGTATAGAAGGTGATAGCTCTATTGCAGAACCAGCAACCCATTTCAGAATGTGTGGAGAGTCACGCCCATTCCTTTCACTTTCACTTACAATATGCACCGCATGTTAACACTACCGTTATCAAATGGATAAACACACTTCCAGATCTCGAAACACGATGTTTCTAAATCTGACACGTATTTAGTAATGTCATGTGTAAACGATTTATGACCAGATAGATCTCATCAAATTGGCGTTTGGCTATACAATATCTTTCAGCACATGCAAAATTATTGGACATTTTTTCGGGCGACACAAATTCACCAGCCAAAAGTGAAAATGTAAGCCGAAGATTCGATGCGATAGCTAAGTCATAAACCAACCACTTTCTTTTTAATTTAAATGTTGAGATATTGAAAAACTCAGTTAATAATAGATTTAGGACCGGTTCCAGTCCTGCAATCAAAAATGATCAATCTCCCCGAGGGGGGAGGGCGACTTTATCTGAGATGCAGGAAATATTTCGCTTTGCTTTTGTTGTGAGATGCGCGAAACAAGATTTATGAAGAGTTTGAAGATTTACTGCAACAATTTGGAGTGCGATGCGAGTAGATGGATTCAGATGCAAGAGATGAAAAAAGATTTTTCATAGAGCTTATTTGCTAACGTGAGATTTTCCCACCATCCAAAATTGATATTTAAATGTTTCGTACCCCCAGAATCTCCTCCCTAATCGGACATCCTTTCCATGTTCCAGCATACCACTCACCGAATGAATGGCATTTCGTGCTGTACATAAGCAGTTGGACTTGTTGAAGGTAATTCGAGAATGAGTTCAGGCCTCATTGAGCCGCAATAGGTACTTACCTACGCCGTGAGACTCTGGGGAAAGGCTTATACGCCACACAGCACACAGGAATAATAAAAAAGTTAAACAACATCGCCATCATCATCAACAAGAACAACATGTTGTGCGCACTAACATGATGATTAGAGCGAGAGAGCAAATCGGGAATCGGGAACCAAGCAAACCGACGATCGGGATGCTGGATCTCAATGATCTTCATTTCGGTACTAGTTCTGGACAACGCAGCATCGTTTTCGGAGGGCGGTCCCGCATAATTGAAACCAACATTTAATGCAAAAAATAATGTGCAAGTATAATAGCAGATTGTTCTGGTTTGCCTTGGCAGGCACATTGAGCTTAGCTTGTGGTTTACCGGTGTTTTCGTACGATGATGATTATAACAGTGCAGAGGATGATTATGACGTGATTTTCGATCAACGCCAGAATGGAACTGAAAACGTGCGTCTCTCGGTTGATGGAATTATGATCGCGGTACCGGCACCTCCAAGCCAATCCGATATCTCCTCACTTGCCGGCAGTGCACTGTTGCATATTCTTAGCTCGCAAGTTGGTTCCATGGATAGTGATAGTTCTGAAGAGGAATCGAGTAGGCCGAGCACTACTACGACTACTACCACGACTACAACAACTGCAGCTCCTACCCTGCAAGATCAACTAATTCCGGTGAACTTGCTGGGTCAGGGTCTATCATTTCTCTTCAACAAGGGAGCCGAAATTCCAATCAAAATAGGGTCACAGTTCAAACCACTGAAACAGGGTCAACCTAGCCTACTGTTGCTCAAGAAAGATGCAATTGAGGACGATAGTGATTTTGAGCACGATACGCAAGAGGAAGAAGAATCACCTTCGGAAGCGCCAAAAAAGGTGTCCAAACACAAGCGAAGGTAAAAGAAAAAAAAAAATGAATTTTTTGATCATTCAAGCTTTATTTTTTTTTCATTAACAGGTATAAGTTGAAAGTGGCCAGTATGTTGAAGCCATTTCTTCAAAGGACGTATGTGGCTTAGGTTCTGACGGCAGGTACTATTATGATAGGCTTAATATTTGATTAAGTTTAATATTATGTATTTAAACTATGGGAACGGTTGCTTCTAAATCTGAAAGAAATCCTTAATTGCCGCGGGGTTACCTCTTTCGCTTCTAAGCAAAAACAAAATCCTAATGAGTCTTCAAATTCCCAACTGTGACGCAGTTAATACTGTGGACGAAAGATGTGTTATTGAAGAAATGGCAAATATAGTGGGAACGAGGCCATGTTTGTTTGGAAACCTGTTGAACGAGTCTTTCTGTGTCCAGTAATTTGTACCTGAAGAGGTAAAGATGGCAATGCAAAATTAGGTCAATAGGGAATGCTTCTCGTTTTGAGTTAATATATTTCTTTACGTTCGAATTGGCTCTTGTGGTAATGCTAACGAGTATATGTTGAAGTTCTGTACATTTGGCTGATTGCTGGTTTGAAAAGTAAGTTCATTATGAACGAACTAAGTCAGCAGGAAATAGCATTTTGATTATTATTGCTTATATCACGTAGATGTTTTTTTCTCCTTGCGGCTGTTTTCAACATAGGATTCTAAGAGCACAACAACGGTGCAATAATTGAGCGTTTTCCAAGCTTGTACCATTTTTCCATTTGTATATTGTGTGGCAACCAAAGTAATACTCTAGGACCAGGAAAGTCGAGAAATTATCCATCCCAATAAAATCCTTAAGGTGTAAGCAAAAGTAGTAGTATTAACACGTGCATTTAAAACACCTTAATATTTTGACATGTGAAATTGCGAAGTGTAATTCGAAAAAAGGACGCTAACGGGTGTTCAATAAAAAATGAAAATGTTTTCAGTCATATAATTACAAAAAAAAAAAAAATTCCTACGAATTCAGTATTTTTATTAAAAACATAATGTTTATTCATCAAAAAACGTCAATGAATTTTGAAGAAGGGGCCCTGGTCAGCCGTACGACGCAACTTAGTCGCGATGCTCTCACAAGAGCGCTGGACGGCACTGAAATCGTTCTCATTTTTTATTGAACACCCGTTATAAGGAATCACCTTAAATGAACCGGCTATTAAACTCACCAGCTTTAGAATTTCCTTGCTGTATAGCTGCGCCTTTACCGACTGAGATAAGGAAAGATTACACTGGATATATTTGACGATTATAAGACCTAAGGTTACAAACGCATCTTTAGTAAGGTGAACTTATCCCAAAAATATAAAAGCAAAGTTACAATATCCAGCTGGTGCAGACTGTAGAGCAGTTTTCTCAAATTCACAGTAAAATATTGTCAAAGTAGTTAACCATCACAAATAACTTCAAAATTTACTTCAAGACATGGAGGTTGAGCTGGCTTAGAGCCGATTTCTTCACTTACGCTTAAGTATATGGGTAATCCTGGTTTAAGATTTAGGCGGAGGTGACGAAAGGCTCTTAGCAAGGAAAAAATGATGAAGAGAGTTTTAGACATGAGACAAGAATGCTGATGGATCAGAAAAAGAAGCCCGTTCATTAATTTAAAGATGAATAATGGATGGCAAACTTTGGATTTCTGGATGATTTCTAAACTAAAACTTAACTAAACCTGACATTTCAAGGAAGAGACAATTTGGTACACAATTCGTTTGATAAAGAAAAACTTTTTAACAAAGTTAGTTTTCCAATACAATACTTAAGCAATTTCTCTTTGCAAAGTTATATCTGAAAGCCTATTTCTCATTTACTTTTTCGAAGGGCCGTATCTACTTTTGTAAACAATGCGTTATATCGTCGATTTGGCGTAACCGGTAGCTCACCCACGCATACTAACTCTACCATCAGGTAGGGGAAAATATGCGTGGGTGAACTAATAGTTCCGCCAATTCGACGATCAAATGCATTGTTTACAAAAGCAGATACGTCCCTTCGAAAAAGTAATCGTGATTCGTTCATGGTTGAAAGCAGATTCCGATGGAGGATTTCTAGATGAACAGCCTATCGTATGTTTCTTCTCCATTCGGTAGATGATTCTCGTGCCAAAACGATAGTGAAATGCAAGATGCATTTAAAAACAATGATCTGCCAAAATTTAACTCAAAGTAGAAAGTAGGAGCGCTATTTCGTCGTAACAGCCCATTTCCGTTCTATCGAGTAGAAAACATCAATAATATCAATAATTTCGCCATGCACAAGTCAATATTATCGTTACAGCTGAAAACTGGAAAAACCCTCTATCGAAATTCGGTTTTAGTCTCATTCTATACGTTTAACGCATTATAGCGCATCATTGCCGCCTTATGAATACACGTGTGAAGACAGGTACCTACATTTCCAAAGGTATTGAGGAAATATAGCATTCCAATTTTCACAAGGCGTTCTCGATTGGAGAAATATCGCTTCGTCCCTGGAACGTTTGAAATAAATTGCACCGAATTGAAACAACTGTACATATACTGTCTCTAGCTTGCTAAATTTACATGAGAAAACATACAACAAACATTTCTAAATACTTAGCATGTAAATGTATAAAGATTCGTTGGTCGGTTTTTATACGTTTTGTTTTCGTAGTACATAATAGAGAATTTCAGGACAGTTCCATTAATTTCCGGAAAATTATAGGAAATTTTATAGAAGATCTTGGCAATTAAGGGAACTCCTGGAAAAAAATCCAGAAAGTCTTTAGATTAATTTCAGATATTTCAGTGATGTTCATATAATTTTAGGGAATATCTGAATCATTAAGAGAACTTTCAAAAACTTTAGGTAAGTTCCGTGAACTACAGGCAAGCTCAGAACTCTGGAGAAGAATTAAGATCTTGAAGAGTTGGTTCCAACTCCAACTTGGTTCCAAGAGCGATCCTCACACGTATCAATATATTGACGCGAAAGGGAATTATTGAGAATAATATTCATGATGTGAATACATAAATATTTTCAATATATTGTATTGATAATACGATAATTGTGTAGGGTCCACTTTAGATGAAGATCAGAAAACTTCACGACACTTTCTTTAACGTCAAGAAAATTCCAGGAGCTTTACACCTTCAAGAATCTTCAGGAAACCACAGGTAAGTTCAAAAATATTTAGAAAACTTCAAAGAACTTCGGGAAAGTTCCTAGAATTTTATGGCAGTTCCATGAACATCCGTAAAATTGTGGATACTTGAAGAAAGTTCCAAAAGCTTCAAGTAAAATTTGGGTAGTTCATGTCAGTTCGAATAACTTCATAATAATTGCAGGAACTTTACAAACATAGACCAAGAAGAAAGTCCAGAAAACTTCAGAGAAGTTGAGAGTCCCATGAACGGCAGAAAAATTGCGGAAACTTAAATGAAGTTCCAAGAATTTTAGGAAAATTTTGAAAACTGTACGTTAATTTCATTAACATCAGAAAAAAATCGAGAATGTTCAGGAAGATCTGAGAATTTCAGGGAAATAGGGAATTAGGGAAGATCTAGAAACATCAAGAACGTCCACAACGTTCAGTATAGATCATTAGGGTAGATTGTGATAGCTTTCCATAGATTTTTGGAAAGTTTCGAAAACTTCAGTGAAGATAAATTTAGAGCAAATTCATTAAATTCAGGAAAATTTCTGAAATTTCAGGAGTAAATTTTCATTACGTCGAAAGTAACTAAGGTAAACAAAGTCGAACTATTAGTGTCAATCGATGCTCCTGCTATTACACTATATACTGTCCAAATATAGGATCAGATCCCACCTTCCGATCAAAATATTTTTCGATGTTACTTGAGTCACCCAATTTCTATGGAGATGCCTTTTGTCTTAAGTAACAGCGCAGAGAAACCCGTGAAAAGTGTACGTTCATCGTTTCGCTTTCTCATTATTAAAGTGAATAAATCGAACTGTTTGTTGCTAAGATGATTTCGGTGGTCCTAAAATGATGAATGGGCTGCACATAAGGAGACGTGATTGATAATTCTCCTAAATATCCTGGTTAATACACTTTGACTTAAGCAACATTAGGGGCCACCAAACGACGTATAATAACTTTTGACTCAAAAACCAGTATTTTTTGACGTAGAACTGGGGTGCAAATCAAAAAATATGTGTGGTGAAGGAGTGTTAGGTTTTGAACGCTTGTAACTTTGTCATTTATAGATGAAATTAAAATCCAAATACGCCAATCGATAGGGTATTACATTACGAACCTGCTGAAGGAAATGTTTTTCCAATTTTTTTGTAATTGAACTATTGAAAATTTACAAATGATAATTTTATCACTGTTTTAATGAAATAAGCCTTTTTCCCAAACCCAGTCATCATAAACGAATACCACTTGGTTGTACATCATTCTGCTTGAACCTGGAAAGGTATAAATCAGCGCTGCTCTCCTGCCTCTGCTCATTCCCGCTTCGGACGGCGTGGCACTAGGTCCTGCAGCGCTGCAGCAAGCAGGACTAAGTCAGCGGCTAAAGGTGGATCACGGCGTGTCCACCACAATGAGGAATAAGACTTGAAAAAACGTGCATGTAAAACCCCCTCCCCCTTAAAAACCTCTCCCCCTCCCCTCTTAACAATAACCCGAAAAAGACATGGACTTTGACGATCATTTTTTTCCGGGAAATAAATTTTAAGTAAACCACAATTATGTATAAATAATTAATTTTTTACATGCAGAGCCAACATTTTCAAAAAACAATTGCTTAACAGAAGACATACACTCGATGGATTACCAACAACTGACTGTAAAACATATCTGGTACCTCTATATATGCAATTATATTAACATCCAAAGTCCATCCTTTTTTACATATTCTGTACAAAAGAAACTTTTTGCTCCGCCCAATTCATAAAAAAACGGCGGGAAATCTTATCAGGTTTGGTTGCACATCGGTCTGCTTGAACCTGAAACGCTGTATTGGCGTTGATGGCGACTCTGTAGCTCTTTACTCCACTGGTAAAATCCATAAGCAAACGTCAGACTGTGCGTGAAACATGGCGGACTTCGTACTATCCTTTCACTCCACTGAAAATTCCCATATGAAACTGTCAATCTTTGCTAAAAGAAACGATTTTTCGGCGGTGCCGTCAACGCCAATTAAACAGCGCTGCTGTCGTGCTTTAGCTTATTGTCGCCTCGG